CCTCAAGAGGCATGGGACAATAAAAAGAAAAGACAAATTAAAATTAATGGGCCTACCAAGGGTAGTAACCATCCAGCAAGGGGGCTATGGAACCAATCCAGAATAGGCCCCTGGACTGCTGATGTTTGAGCTACTCTTTCAGGTTGTTTAGGATCTCAATGTTTTGTTCTACTAAACGTGATTCATTAATATAACAACATTGTCCCCACAAGAATAGGCAGGTCCCACCTTTTTTAGCTGTTAGAAGGTCCAAGGCTCGGCAATTTTGAAGAGCAATCTGTGCCAGGAAGGTAAGTTGGCGCTGGAGTGAGGCTAGAGATCATGGGGTAGGATCCAACTCACCTTGCCCTTCCAAGCACCAATCCTGACTCTCCAGAGGAGACCATTTTCCCTCTAATTCCTTTCCCAACACTTCTGTTGTTGGTAGTGGTGGTGGTGGTTGTGGGGCTTGAACTCTGGGCTTGAGCACTATCCCTCAACTCTTCAGCTGAGCTCTACTGCTTGAGCCATAGTGCCACTTCCGGTTTTTATTGGAGATAAGAGTCTCACTGACTTTCCTGCTGGGGCTGGCTTTGAACTGTGATCCTCAGATCTCAGCCTCCTGTGTAGCTAGGATTACAGGCGTGAGCCACTCGTGCCCAGCCCAAGACTTTCTTTACTACCTGTTTACCCTTTACAATCCCTTGAGCTTCTTTGTGGCTAGAGTTTAAAAATGCACATTTTTTTCCCTTTGGCTTGTGGAACTGAGTTATCTCAGAACTGCCTCAAGGCAATGCTTGGGTGGAAAGGTTTGCTAGATTTTAAGGCTAAGGGCAGGGCTGGGTCTCATTCCTCTTACTACCTCCATTGCATATATCAGGCACATAAGAGGGTCCATCACTCAGGGCGGGGAGGGATGTCCATCAACTCCCATAACAGAGACCTGGGAAGGAATTACGTGGCCTGAGTAGGAAGGGAGGACCAAATAGGCAGCCTCCATTTTGTCCAAAAAGGAAATGGCTTTACCTGCTACCTGGATTGTTACCTAGGCTCAACGAGGGTGATTGGGGTCAGCAAAGTCTTCAGTGGCCAGGCCCAGGACTGAAGCCAGTTAGTTAGGGGAGGGAAGGGTTGTACCCCCACAACTAGGCGCAGAGGGGCAGTCAGCCTTCCAGTGTCCCTTCTGAATGCACAGTGGACATGGTTATCTGGGGGGGATGGGGTTTAGGGCATCGCCTTGCCCAGTGGCCCTCCTGGCCACACTTGCAGCAGCGTCCAGGTGGTTGTCCCTTTTCTCCAGAGCAGCCTGTTGCAGAAGGCCTTAGGGCAGAGACCAGAGCTTGGGCTTGGTAGGCCACCTTTTGTCCAGAGCAGGCTTCCCATCAGCCTTTTCCTGTTCCTCAAGATCATGGAAACTTTAAAGGCCATGTTCACCAGGTCTTGGATAGGGGTTTGAGGGCCATCCTCAGTCTTTTTAATTTTCTCTTTATGTTTGGGGCTGACTGAGAAATAAAATGAGAGGCCAAAAAGCTTGCCCCAGCTGGAGAGGTGGGGTCCAAGCGGGTGTAATTAGGGAGGGCCTCAGTAAGTCTAGCTAGAAAGGCAGTAGGGCTTTCATCCTGAAGTTGAGTAATTTCGCATAGTCTGTTAATAGTTAATCACCTTATGGGAGGTACCTGTTATAGAGCCAAAAGGCACTGCATCATCTTATCTCTACACAAGCAGCCATTGCTACCCTCCAATATTGCAATGAGGTTCTGTCTGTGGACTGCCTCAGTTCCCACGGGCATGGTAGTATCTGTAAGGTAGATCGTGTGCTCATGAGCCTGGGCTCATGCTCCTCCATGGTAAGAGTGGAGGAGAGTAGAACATGGAGGTCATGCCAGGTGAGATATTAGACCCTCAGCTCAGTGGGATCAGGTGGAGCCTAGGGCAGTAGACATGGCACAGGTGGGAAGGATAACAGAGTTGAGAGGGTCAGGAGAGGAGGAGAGAGGGGAAGGGCTTTGGAAGGATCTTGCCACATAAGCAAGATTTGAGATAGGGCCAGGAGAGACAGAGGGAGGGAGGGGAGCATAAGTAGAAGATTCCCTGGCCGATAGGAATTTCAGCCCACTTTACCGTCCACTCATAGAAATTGCAGAGATAGGTTAGTATATCGAAACTGAAAGTCCCATTTTTCAGGCTGGCATGAGTGGTTATCAAGCTGGTATATAGGCCATTCTCAGTTACCAAGGAAGAATAAGGTCAAGTCTTAGGCTTAGAGGTTCGAGATTAGCCAATAAGCAACCCAGAAGAGTATGTCGGTCCAGTTTGCAACTTTGGTTTCTCATCGTGCCCAAGAGTGCCCGGGTTAAAACTAAGGCTGAAGAAGGCATCCCTGTCTTAGCCAAAGAGTTACTAAAAAAAAAAAAATGGAGGTGACAGAGAAGACCAGGCGTCCCTCGATTGTTCTCAGCACCTAGACCAAAGGCTGGAGGGAGACTAGGACACGAGCTCGTGATTTTATGGAAACGGAACGGAAGGAGCTGAGTTCCCTGAGAGCAAGCCAGGACACCATGGGAGGGGAGGTGGGGACTCACCAAATCCGAATGTGGTGGATGCACAGAAGACTGAGGTCCTGATCCAACGAAAAGAGACAGTGGGAGAGAGAGAGAGACAGAGACAGAGAGACAGAGAAACAGAGACAGAGAGAGAGAGAGACAGAAACAGAGGGAGGTAAGTAAGGGTAGAGGCCTCCGCTGGGTTTACACAGATAGCCAATAATATCCCAGGCCACTAGGTGGCCGTCCACGGGATATGCACCACTTACAGAGGCAAAGGCCACCAGGTTTTTCAGGTGGCTGTTTAGCCAAAAGTAAGCTCTGTGCTCCCAATGGGGGAGGCCTCTGGAAAGAAGGAAGGGGAGAGGCTGAGAAAGGGCAATGCCCGTTGGTCACTCTAGAGGGAAGCAAAACACTACCACCTTCCCTGGTTCAGCACTCGATGTAAGGTTTTAGGCAAGGAAAGAACAGGCAGGAAGAGGTAAAGGTGAATAAAAGTTTATTGGGGTATGTTCCCAGGTGAACTCTCTGGTCGGGATGAGAGAGGTGGCACCGAGTCTGGTTGTAACAGGGTTTATATGGCTGGGGTCGGCAGGAACTATTAGCACGTAAATTGTTTTGCAAGTTTGAGCAGGTTCAGGCGTTGGGACAGGTGGTATATATTTGAGACAGGTGGTGTGTAAGGAAGTGGCTTTTCTTGGCTGCCTCTGACCTTCAACAGCTGTCAGTAAGTATTTTTTTATGTTGCCTTTGTCCACTCACTGGTTGTCATTTTCCCTCCTCCAAACTTCTAATGTTCTTTGAACTTGATAGTTTTTGTTGTTGTTGTTATTTTCCTTTCAGTTTTTGAAGGCACATTTCATCTCCTCAACTTCTTGGCAAATTCCTTGACTGATGAAATACTTATATGACTTGAGCCTGGGTCACTAGTAAGGGTGAAATGGTTCCTGAAGAGAAAAAATAATGCAAGGAGAGAAATGAAGATCAGGAAGCAGTCTTATTGATGGTGGAGTGGACAGGCTCAAGAAGCAGCAGTTGAACTGATGCTTCCAAAACCTCAAGCTTTTACTGAGGTTTGCAGTCATTCTTGCAAAATGTATTATGTGTCATTGGATCCATAAACTGAGTTGTGTGTCACTAATTCTTTCCATATGTCGAGTTGGGGTGCTTTTGACCTTGGATTGACAGGTGCCAGCTAGTCATTTTGTGGGCAGTAGAGCTCCTTCGGTATAAAACAAATTATTCATGTAATATCAGTAGAACAGCAAGTGGCTATTAATCTCTAAGCCATTGTTCTCAGTCATCAGGTTTTCCAACAAACTGCCTAATTCATCTGCTACTGCAAAAAAAAAAAAAAAGTTGAGAGGGTATACCCTCAAATTATACCATTTGCTTTCTATTTTCTTATAAAGATAGGATCAGGGGGGTCATCCAACAAGTAACAGATCAAACTAACCACAGCTGCCAACCTGGGACAGATGCTTACAGTAAAAGTTACACATCTGCTTACTACCTTCACTGTGACAAGGATTCGTTTTCCAAGATCACTATTCACTCAAGTAACTTTACAGTTCCACAGAGTGTAACAGCTTAAGGCACGGATTACATACTGCACTGTAATCCCTGTGACCAAAACCCCAGCAGAAGCAACCTCCTGAAGGAAAACTCTCTTCTTTCCCACTACTTCTGGCCAGGTCAATGCAGAACAGCGGGGTCACTAGGCTTAGGAATCAAGCACCGCCAGAGCCCGGGTCCTCCCGGGGATCCTAACATTGAGAGTGCGGGCCCGGACGGGAGGGCGGGACTTCCTGCGTCATGCGAGCTCTTCCTAGAGATTGGCCCAGCAGGGGAAGTGGCGAAGGGCTGGCCGGGGAAGAATTAAAAGTAGCAAATCCACGCAAGGGAGCCGAAGGGTATCTCTGGGGAGAAGTAAGGAGACAGGGAAAGCTGGAGGTGAGGGCTCCCGTGTGTGTGCGGAGGGGGGGGTAGGTGGGCGGAGAGAGTTCGCTGGGAAGAGGGGCAAAGACACGAAAGCGGAAGCGGGGGGGGAAGGGGGCCGGAAGAGGGTCGCAGACCGGAAGAGGGTCGAGGGAGAGCGCAGGGGGCGGTCGAAGGGGCGGTCGCCACGGAGCCTCCGGGACTTTGTATTCTGTGGTTTGGCTGCTCCGTCCTCTCCGGACGAGTCTTGAGTGTTTTTGGAAGGATGGGTGCTGGCTTCCTTCCAGGTGAATCCCCACGAAGCTGAACGCGGCGTCCGGGCGGCCGCTTCCCCAGCGCGCCTCGGCGCCTGCGCACTGCCCTCTGCTGGGCGTTGCTCGCACTGCCGAGCGCCGCCATAGCCCGACTCTGCTGGGCTTGGAGGCAGTGGGGGGCAGTGGGGAAAGATGAGTGAAACGTCACGGACTTGAACGTGGCCTTTAGTACAGGAAGGCTGTGAGTTTACGCACCAGAACAGTTTCTGAATACTTAGGAACCCCCGATACTAACTTGGGCTGCGGCTCCACTAGTAGAACACTGACTTGAAACTGGGTATTCTGGATGCTGCAGGTATACAGATACGCAGGCTCTGGACAGGAGTCGCGGAGGACTGCGTCTTTTGAGGACCTAGCACGGTGTTGCTAGAAATAAGCTGGGGGTGAAGTAGAATTACAAAATCCAGTGGGTGGGGCAGGGTAACAAGTCAGGTGATCTTTAGTTGACACCCTATTGGGTTCTCACCTGAAAGATGAGTGGATGGTAATTAGCTGGGTCACAGGCAGTGGTGAGCATTTCACCAAGAGGAACCGGCTTGTGAAGAGGTACTGGAGTTGAAACAGTGTGAGTTATGAGAATGATAACTAGGGCGGATGGAAAGTTGGTTGTGGCTAGATTCTTCCACCTCTGGGTGGAGTTTGGGGTTGTAAGAAAATTAACTTTTCAGGGCTGGGAAGGTGGCTCAGTGGTAGAGTGCTTGCCTTGCAATGCATGAGGCCCTGGGTTCGATTCCTCAGCACCACATAAGAAAATAGCCAGAAGTGGCGCTGTGGCTCAAGTGGTAGAGCGCTAGCCTTGAGCTGAATAGCTGAGGGACAGTGCCCAGGCCCAGAGTTCAGGCCCCACAACCGGACCTCCCACCCCTCCCCCCCAAAAAAAAAGAAAGAAAGGAAGAAAATTAACTTTTCAGGCACTGGTCTAGGCAACTGCAGCTGCGGTTTCAGCAACTACATTTACGACAGTCCAATTGACGTAGTTGTGTCAGCTAGGATTTTGATAAGGGATTTAGATGTTCTGAGTGTACCTGTTGTGTGTGTAGAGTATTAGAAAAATTTAGGAAAAAGATGTCAATCATATCTACTAAAATTTTCATAACAAAAAGCCCGAAGGATTTGAACTTTGTTTATTGTGGATGTGTGTAGCAGAGGAACTTTGGAACTTTTTGTATTAAACAGGTATTGGGAAATCTTACATTTCGATGATTAGGATATTAGTGTTGGCTATACTGCCGCTGTTATCTGACTTGGAGATCAGTGTGTGAAATATATTGTCTTACAGGCTTTAGGAAAGCTTCTGGCAGAAGATGAAAGATCTCAGTTCAGTAGTTCAGTAAAAGACAAAAAAATAGGCAAAAGATTAAATAAGCACTTTACAGAAGTTTATTATGCAAAGGAATAGTAAACATAAAAATGGAGTTAAGAACCAAGATAGGGCACTGCTTACCTGTATTTCATTACTTAAGAGGGTGAGGCCGGAACTTCATGAATTTAGATGGGGAGTTTCACAAGGCTACCTTGCACTTAGTTCTGCATCACCTGCACAAAATAATGAGACCTTGTCTCAAAAAATTTTTTTTCTTCATTTTACAACCCTAGAAATACAAAATGAAACTAAAATGAGCTACAGCCCATTAGAATACAAGTGATACACATGGTTGTGGAATAACTAGAACGTTTATTCCTTTGTAACAATATACTTTGTACCAAATCATTGGTATGGCCATTTTGGAAAGTTAACTAGCAGCATGTTTTATGAGCAAATGAACAATTATATATGTTACAATTTTTAGTATTCTGGCCATCCAGCTCTCTCTGTGTGTATATGTGTGGAAGTGTAACTTCACAAGAAGAGCGATTGGTAACACCACTATGGTCAATTTTGAGGTACTAATAGCTTAAAAAACTAACTAGGAAAAGTGTTACATATTTAACATCCAATATAAGTGGAGGTGCAGCACACCAACCCAAGCTTTCCATTCCTAAATATATACCATCACAAATAAGTATTGGAAAAAGAAACATACTTAAATGCTTCCAGCAATAATACAAAAAAATTACTAACAACCCATATATCTATTAACATTAGAATACATGAATTTCAGCATATTCTTTAAGGCTTGGAATGAGAAGAATTGACTCTTTATAGACTTAATTATAATAGCAATCATGAATGTAAAAAACTATGTTGAAACTAAACACAAAAAAATATAATCCAACTTTTGTAACATATAATAGCCAGTAAAGTAATTGAGGTTGTCTGATAATCATCCTTACTTGAGGGGCTAAGTCTGAAAGGTAACACAGGGGCCTCTTGAGATGTAGATTATATTATCTTTCTTACTATTTCGTGAAAAATCATTGAGCTCTATGTTTTATGCCATGGACCATCCATTTCAAGCTGTCTCTGAGGGAAGACAGTAGGAGATTGAGAGGAAATTGAGGAACACACACACACACACACCTACCTTAGAAAAAGCTGGACCACGTAGGCTGTCAGCACCCAGAAATCTGAGGGACTTTAGCTACCCAGTGTTATGTGGAAGACACTCAGATACAGCCTCATGCAAAAAAGATGAATTTATTGGGGAAGTAGATAGCTGACTAGAGACACAGCACAGACTTGGGGGCTGAAACTCAACCCGAATGGTCCACAAGCCAGGGTTTTAAAAGGCAAAATCCATGCAGTCAAGTCTGGACACACGCAGATGACCAATGAGTTTGCAACACACACAAGAAGTTTCATAGTCATGTCAGGCCACATGAAGGTGGCCAATGGAGTTACAGTTTGCCTTACAGTAGCTGTTTAAACTAACCTATCATTTTGGTTTGAATTAGCTCTTGAATTTGGCGGGCAAAAGGCGGGGCTTACATTTTGGTGAGCAAAAGGCGTTTATCCCCAACCCCCCATAAATTTGCCCATCTGCAAACCCCCAGAAACAAACAGGGTTGCAGGGCAACTCAGATATTACACCCAGGTTCTAGTTCAGCATATTTATTTATACGTACAGAGTTTTTCCTTATAAAGAGGGGAAGGGACCGATACAGATACTAATAAGTTGCATTTAGCAGGTGCCCAGCAGCTTTGTTAATGCAGGAACAGAAATCCTGTGATTAGAAATAGCTGAGCTAAATGTCTAGCTTAAATGTTAAGGTGAGAGAAATGTCCATTTTTTAAAATTGTATTTTATTTTCAAGGTGATATACAGAGGGGTTACAGTTACATACGTAAGATAGTGAATACATTTCTTGTCCAATATTGTTAACTCCCACCTCGTTCTCCCACCTTCCCTCCCCTCAATACCTCCCCCCCAGTTGTGAAGTTCATTTCCAACATGTTGTCTTCTGAGTATTGCTGTTGCATTGCTTTGCACTTTGTCCTTTGTCTCACCATTTTATTGTTCCCCTTCCCTTCCCTAATTCAGATATAAGACACAGGGTACCAAAATCAAATAGAGTGACAACAAGGGGAAAAAAAGAAAAAACGCAAGAAAAAAAGAAATAACTTTACATAGTACGTTAAAAAGAAAAACCTCTTGTTTCCATGTTTTCCCATATCTTGGAGTTTATTTCGCTTAGCATCATTTTATATGGTCATATGTACATAGCTATTGAGCTATTGTGATCCTCTTCTAGGACATCCTAGATATATTCTAATTATTACAAATGAGGGAAGCCATGGAGTCTGTGTTTCTTTGGGTCTAGCTTGCTTTACTTAATATGATTTTTTCCAAGTCTTTCCATTTCCTTACAAATGGGATGATGTCATTCTTTCTGATGGAAGCATAAAATATATATATATATATATATATATATAATTAATCTATTCATCTACTGAGGGGCATCTGTGTTGGTTCCATATCTTACTATAGTAAATAATTCAGCAATCATGGTTGTACTGGTAGCTTTAGTATGGCCTTGTTTGTGGTAATTTGTGTAAATGCCCAGAAGTAGGATTGCTGGGTTATAGGGGAGCTCAATGTTTAGTCTTTTGAGGAACTTCTGTACTGCTTTCCAGGGTTGTTGAAAAAGTTTATGCTCCCACCAACAGTATAGTTCCCTTTTGGCCACATCCCTGCCGGCATCTGTTGTTATTAGATATCTTGATAATGGCCATTGTAATGGGAATAAGATCAAATCTCCATGTTGTCTTGATTTGCATTTCTTTTATGGCCAGAGATGTTGAGCATTTCTTCATGTGTCTATTGGCCATTCTTATTTCCTCTTCAGGGTAGTCTCTTAAGTCTTTAGCCCACTTATTAATGAGGTGGTTGTTTCTTTGGGGATTTGTTTATTGGGGGATTTAATTTTTGGAGTTCTAAGTATATTTTAGATATGAGGTCCTTGTCTGTTGTATTGCCAAAGAAGGTCTTCTTCCAGTCTGTGGGCTTTCTATTTATCTGGCTAGCTATGTCCTCTGCCATACAGAAGCTCTGCAGTTTCATGCAATCCCATTTGTCTAACTTTTCTTTGATTTATTGTGTTTCTGGGTCTTAATTAAGAAAGTCTTGAGCTGTGCTAAGAAGCCCTCGCGTTTCTCTTATTCCTGTAATGTTTTCAGGGTATCTGCATTTACCTCTGGGTCTTTGATCCATTTGGAATTGATTCTGGTGCAAGTTGATTTTTAAGGATCTAACTATAGTTTTCTACAGGTGTTTAATTCTGCCAGCACCATTTGTTGAAAAGGTCCATTCTATTTTTTGGGCTCCCTTATCGAAGATTAGGTGGCCATAGGTCTGTGGGTTCATTTCTGGGTCTTCAGTTTTATTCCATTGGTCATCAGGCCTGTTCTCATGCCAGTAACAAGCTGTTTTTATTACTATAGTTTTGTAATAGAGTTTGAAGTTTGGTATTGATATTCCTCCAGCACTGTTCTTTCTGCTATGGATTATTTTTGCTATTCAAGGCCTTTTATTATTCCATATGAACTTTTGGATTGCTTCCTCTATTTCATTAAAGAATGATGTTGGGATAATGATGGGTATTGCATTGAATTTGTAGATTGCCTTTGTCAGTGTTGCCATTTTCATGATTTTAATCCTCCCAATCCACGAGTATGGGAGGTGTTTATAGTTTTCATCATAGAGGTCTTTCACTTCTTTGGTTAATTCCTGGTTTGTTTGCTTTTTTTTTTTTTTTAGGCTATTACAAAAGGAGTTGATTTCCTGATTTCAGCCTCACTCTTCTCATTGTTGGCATACAGAAAAGCCATTGTTTTTTGAAGATTAATTTTATACCCTGCCACTTTGCCAAAGTTTCAGATCAGCTCAAGTAACTTGGGAGCAGAGTCTATGGCGTTCTTTAAATACAGGATCATGTCATCTGCAAAGAGAAGAGAGTTTTACTTCATCTTTCCCTATTTGTATCCCCTTTATGTTTGCCTTTTGCCTTATTGCTCTAGCTAGGAATTCTAATACTTTATTGAAGAGGAGTGGAGAGAGCAGAAATCCTTGTCTTGTTCCTTATTTTAGATGTAATGGCCTTAACTTTTCTCCATTAAGTGTAATGCTAGCTGTAGGTTTGTCATATACAGCCTTTATTATATTGAGAGGAATGTTCTAGAGCTTTCATCATAAGTGGATCTTAGATCTTGTCAAATGCTTTTTCTGTATCTATTGATATGAGCATGTGGTTCTTGTTCTTGCTCCTATTGATGTGATGAATTACATTAATTGACTTGCATTTATTGAACCAGCTTTGTATCCCTGGAATGAATCTTGTTTGATCATAGTATATAATTTTTTTTGATGATTTGTTGAAGTTGATAGCCAGAATTTTGTTGAGAAGTTTTGCATCGATGTTCATCAAAGAAATGAGTCTATAGTTCTCTTTCTATGATAGGTCCCTGTCTGGTTTTGGGATGAGGGTTATGCTGGTTTCATAGAATGAGTTTTGTAGAGAACTTTCACTTTCAATGTCATTGAAGAGTTTGAGGAGTATTGGTGTGAATGCTGCTTTGAGGGCTTATGCCTCATGGACTGTCAGCTATTGCACATCAGGCCATGGGCAAGTGTGACAAGTTCAGGATGTTGCTGCAATATATGTTTCTTCCAGTGGACAGGTGGGACATAACGTGTTTCTGGCTCCCAACAGCTTTATATGCTTTTTTGAATGTGTGTTTTATATTAACAAAATGTTTATATAAGCAAAGGAAATGTTAGGTCAGCCCTGATATGTATATAAAATAAGAAGAATGGCAGAATCAACAACAACAAAATGACCCACAAGCACTTCTAGCTCATGTCCCTTTTTCCAAAAGACCCTTCCCAGGTTTTTTGTTTTGTTTTGTTTTGTTTTGTTTTGTTTTGATCGGTTGGGGAGCTTGAGCTCAGGGACTGGGAGCTGTCTCTGAGCTCTTCTGCTCAAGGGTAGCAATCTACCACTTTGAGCCACAGCTCCACTTCCACTTTTTTTGGTTTGTTGAAGGGAGATAAGTCTCATAGACTTTCTTGGCCAGGCTGGCTTTGATTTCAGTCTCCTAAGTAGCTAGGATCACAAGCATGAGCCACCAGCACCTTTCCAGTTTTTTTTTTTTTATTTGAAAGCATTGAGGAAGATAAGTATAATGCTTAAAATAAAATGATTCTTGTAGCATTCTGTACAGACTGAATTACTCTTTTTTTTTAAATTACTCTTTTAAAGGTTGAAGGATGAAAAAATAGACTGAAGAGAAAGGCATAAGATGGCACAAAGCACAGAAAATATTTTCCCTTAATCATTCTAATGAGTTGAATCTCAATAAATGCATTTCAAGGTGCCATCTTCTCTTGATGCTATCCTGAAATAATATGTTTTGTGAATTGTTTGGTCTATGAAAGAAATAAAAATGGAATTCCAAACATTATCTCCTGAAAGATTTTTTTCCTTTCCTTGTGTAAGAGATGGGTGTTGCTGCATTGCTCAGACTGCATTTAAACTTCTGGGCTCAAGGGATTCTTTCCCTTAGTATCTTCTGTAGATAGGACTGTAGGCATGTGCTATTGAGCCCAGTACTTTCAGTACTTCTGAAAGTAAGGATAGCCTCCCAATCAGCAGAAAGCTCCATTACAATAGACTATTCATCCATAATAGCAAATTAGTGGTTACTAATCTGGATAACCATGTATTTACCTCTTTTCCAGAAATGGCAAAAAGTCTTTTGATGACATCATCTCTGTCTTCAAGGACAAAACTATTGCAGCTAACAGGAGTGTCACTTTATAATACTTCTCATGGTTTCCATGAGGAAGAGGTGAAAAAGAAACTTCAGCAGTTTCCTGGTGGATCTGTTGACCTTCAGAAAGGAGACAATGGCATTGGTATACTGACTCTGAACAACCCCAGTAAAATGAATGCCTTCTCAGGTACCAGAAATCTTTCTTTTTCTAGATCAAGAATGGCAGGAAGCAGGATGCCAGTGGCTCCTTCCTGTAATCCTAGCTACGCAGGAGGCCGAGATCTGAGGATCTAGGTTTGAAGCCAGCCTGGGCAAGGAAGTCTGTGAGACTCTTATATCCAATTTAATCACAGAAAAAATCCAGAAGTGGCGCTGTGGTTCAAGTGGTAGAGTGCTAGCCTTCAGCATAACAAGCCCAGGAACAGTCCCCAGCCCAGAGTTCAAGCCCCAGGCCTCGCAAAAAAACACACACACACACACACACACACACACACACAGATGAAGTTTTTAGAAAACCATATTCTGGGGAAACTATGTATGGTTCAAGTGGTAGCACACTAGCCTTGAGCACAGAGAGGCCTAAGTACAAGCCACAGGAAAAAAAAAAAAAAAAAAAAGAATGAATGGAAGGAAATCTTAAACCTTAGTCAAGCCCCAAGACCAGCAAAACAGATAAAAAGAGGAAGAGATATTATATGTGTATTGTTATGTTAAGCAAAATAAGTAGCTCCAAATTCAATTTGCATGTTTTCTCTCATAATTCTAATTTTATGTTTCTTTTTATTCAATCTAGAATTTGCGTATGAGAAAACAGATATATATATATAATATATTTTGATTTTCTATTTATATGTTCCTACATTTATTTGTAGTAAGATTTTTTAAATTTAAAAACATTTTTATTAGCATATATTGATTGTATAAAGGGGTTACATTGTGTGTTTAATTTTTAAGTTAGACACATAATGAATTTAATCTCTTAAAGCAAGGACTGTCCTAGACACCTAGTTTGTATACTCTATTGTATCAGTACAATAGGTATTTCATAGATATTATTTGTATGATACAGGATGACACATTATTTCTAACTTTTTAAAATATTTTTATTGTAAAAATACTGTACAGAATGGTTACAGTTACATGAGCAAAGTAATGAGTACATTTCTTATCCAGCATTGTTACCTCCTATTTCTAACTTTTTAAAAAATTATTTTCAGTGTCCTGTATTTGTGAATTTTTCCCCCTTTTCCGCCTCTTGTAGGTGTTATGATGTTACAACTTCTGGAAAAAGTGATTGAATTGGAAAATTGGACAGAAGGCAAAGGCCTCATTGTTCGTGGGGCAAAAAATACTTTCTCGTCAGGATCTGACTTGAATGCTGTGAAAGCCCTAGGAACTTCTGAGGCAAGTGTTGTGTGGATTATGCACTGGATTTTTGACTTCTGTGGCTGAGATATATTTTATTTACATTTTGCTCTGAGTTAGCGTCAGACCATGATTCTATCTACACTTCCCTTGACTTTGAAATTATAATTATAACCCACTACAACTGTTATCTTAGATGAAATAAATGTGGATCTAACCACTTTTTTTCGAGCTGGCCCCAAACCCTGATCTTCCCAACCTCTACCCTTGAGTACAAAAGTTTAAATATTTTGTAAAGCATTTTTCAGGATAGATTAATCCTTTATTATATTTTTGAACTCACCCTAATCATGATATAAATTTAAAAAATAAACAAGTTGAATAAACTTCTGTTTGTGGATGATATGGATTTATATAAGGCATAGCCTATGTTTATCATATGTTAATTTTAAAATGAATAAAAGTAGGAATTGTGTATCTAAAGTTCCTGACAGTAATTTTTCATATAAACTATATTCTTTGTTTTTGAGGAGAAACCTATAAATATATGCAAGCCTGAAATTTCTAGTTAAAATGGCCTTAGGCCTTAGGAAATTGCTTTATATGAGTTGCAGCTCATATATAGAAATGTACTGCCCCTTACAGCAGAGCTGTTCTGAGACTCAACATGACTTTCCCTTGTAACAGTTTCCCCTCAATGAGGCTTTGTTTAGCATACTGTCTCTTTGTTGTTTTGATGTGTCACTGGCAAGTACTTATTGGATGAATTTGCTTTTTCTGAGAATGATGAGCTAACTAGAATATATGATATAATTGGATTATATTGTCCTCTACAATATAATTTTTGAAAATGATTATTAATGACTTGAAAAAAACAATTTTGGTGTCAGTGTTTTTGCCACTGTAATCTCAAGTTTAACAGCATCACCAGCTATCAATATTCTGTTTCTTTCACTTTATATTTCCTTAGCTTTTTTTTGCCCCCTCCCTTAACTGTAATTGATCCCTTTAAACTTGGTTTCATTCTGGTAGATCTTGTTTTATGAGCAGGAAAAGAACTTCCAGAATTGTTAATTCTTTATTGACAATTAGAGGCTAGGAGATACACCAGAATAACGTAAGAATTGTTCCTGAAAAGTTACAGAAAAAAGGAACAAAATAGAAGAAAATAATGTAAATATGAATATTATACTGCAATTTGATATGATAGGTATTCTTTACACTTTAAAAGGTCTCTTTTTAGATGGAACAAGTTATCAAAACCAATTTTAAGCATCTGGATATAAGGAACTAAAACCTGCTAACTTTGCAGTGAATGGGTATAAAGCCTTATGGAAAAGTCTGGTGTTTTAAAAAACCTTCATACTCTTAGTGCAGCTTGAATAATACCCTCCTTTGTCTGCTGATCTTGCTTTTTTATCTTCTGTAAATAAATTGGTATTTTGTTCTCTGTTGCTTAAATTTCTACAGTGACCCTGGAAGTTCTTGTAAGATTACACTTACATAATCTTTTAAAGTGTATAGGTATCTTTTTATCTTCCAGTTGTCCTTTAAATGAAATAGATCAGGTCATTTTTAGTTTTCATTCTTTATAGGTGAGAAAACTGAATTTCTTTTTATTCATGTTATTAATAAGTAGTAGCACCAGGCAGCATACTCAACTCTTTTACTCCCAGTTGTTTTTGGCAAGTTGAGTGGTTGTTTGTAGAAGGTGGCGAGGTCTAGTTGGTTTTAGCATATCACATAAAAACAATAGTTGAAGCAGTCAGAATAGATGTGCCTTCTCAGGAAGAAACTGTGAATAAGGAAAGTAATCACCAATTGGATGTTTTAGAATACATACTTCCAGGGGAATAGCTAAGTAAGAACCAAGGAAGAAACCTGGGTGTGTGAGGGGGTAATGGAGGTTGGAGAGAAGGGGGAACTATCAAAGAAATAGGAAGAGAATCAGGACTGTAAAATGTTGCTAGAAACTAAGAGGATCAATGAAGAAACAGATCAAAGGAAGGTACTATGTATTAACATTAGGGGAGAGAATAAGGTATAAGGAGAAAGCTCATTTATTCTGACTGCTTCAACTATTGTTTTTATGTGATATACTAAAACCAACTAGACCTCGCCACCTTCTACAAATACTAATCACCCAACTTGCCATAAACAACTCAGAAATTCTGAAGAAACTCTTAGAGTAAGACTGAAGTAGCTGGGCGCTGGTGGCTCATGCTTGTAATCCTAGCTACTTGGGAGGCTAAGATCAGAGGATCGCAGTTGAAAGCCAGCCTGGGCAGGAAAGTCCTTGAGACTCTTATCTCCAATAAACGACTAGAAATTGGAAGTGATGCTGTGACTCAAGTGGTAGAGCGTTAGCTTTGAGCTGAAGAGCTCAGGGACAGTGCCCAGGCACAGAGTTCAAGCCCCTTGACTGACAAGAAAAAAAAGACTGAAGTGTATGAGGGGAAAAAGAAGAGGCAATGAATTTTGACTACTTTTAAGAAAATAGTTTTTTTTTCCCTAGAAAAGATTATGCCTGTATATGTTTATTTAGCTTCTTAAATATGGGTGAGAATATCTTAGCTCCACATTGTCCTGAGTTGAATTCTACACTGTTCTAATTATATGGCCTCACACAGCTGAGCCCAAGGAGCTCTAGGAGATAAACAATTTAATGTCATTGAAATTTCAGACAGCATCAAAACAAGTGGAAACTTTATTTTTTAAAAAGTTTGATATATTTTTGGCTTCATTACTTTATTAAACCTGCATTTTAAAATGTATTAAATATTGCTTATTGTAATGAGCCTATTCTTATTTTTCTAAAGGATGGAGTGGCCTTGTCTATGTTCATGCAAAACACCTTAACAAGATTTACTAGGTAATGTATCTTTCTTTCAAGAAATGATTTCTGAAACACTAAATTCAGCTCTTTATTATTCCATTATTTGTACCTGTTTAAAAAATAGTTGTTGTTCAAATTCAAATGAACTATTTCTTTGTGCATGGAGAGCCATTTTTTAATTAAAAAGTAGTGAAGTCTACAGACATTATTTTATAAATGGAAGCTAGGGAGGAGACTTCTTTTCTTTTTCTGAAGAGCTAATATAACTAGTATATAAGGAATGGACATGGGGAAAATCAAGGGTGGAAATTAGAGCAGACTAGAAGCATTGGACAGGAGCCAGCAGACATCTAGGTTTCCTCATTGAGTAAAGTGAATTGTATCAAAGGAGAGAGATAAAGACTGGAGAAAGGTTTAACAGTTCCTAAGAAAGGTGAATTTACTTTTCATTTTCATGAAAGTGGAGAAAATTTTCTGAATTTGGGGTGACAAACCAACGTGCTTTGGGCTAGGGATATGACCCAAGTGATAGTAGACACCTGTCTAGCAAGCATGAGGCCCTGAGTTCAAATATTAGTACCACCACCCAAAACAACAGAAAATCTGATATGGTTTTTAACTGAGTAACTTTCTGGTGACATATTCTGAATATAGGCAATTTAAAAATATACCATCAAAGAAATTAACATTAAAGCATGCTTAATATAGTCATTGTTGTATTTTTGGCACTCATCATATCTGAGTCTAGAAAGATCAATAGAATTGCAAAATTACCACTTTAAAATACTTTTCCTGGGGCTCAGAATGTGACTTAGGTGGCAAAGTGCTTGCCTAGCATGCATGAAGCCCTGGGTTTGATTCCACAGTACCACATAAACAGAAAAAGCCAGAAGTGGTGCTGTGGCTTATGGTAGAGTGCTAGCCTTAAACACAGAGAGGCTCAAGGACAGTGCTCAGATCCTGAGTTCTAGCTCCAGAACTGGCCAAAAAATAAAAATAAAAAATAAAATACTTTTCCTATTGTCTTAGCTCCTGTTCACATTTCTCTCCTATTACATTTGCTTTTTTTCCCCCTATATAAAAAGTTACTCTTTAAAAATAATTCTTTTTACTTGGGCATAGTTTACATTAAGAAATACATAGTTACTCTGATTTGTAGCTTTTCATTTTGGTTAGAACCCACAAAAACTTCTTCTATACTTGGACATTTTAGCACAAAATAATGCTATATATGGGGTTAGCCTATGGATCATTTCAGACAGTCATTAGAAGATTTTGATAGTAATCTTTTTTTGGTTGTTGTTGGTCATGGGGCTTGAACTGGGCACTGTCCCTGAGCTCTTCAGCTCAAGGCAAGCACTCTACCTCTTGAGCCACAGCTCCACTTCCAGTTTTCTGGTGATTAATTTGAGATAAGAGTCTCATGGACTTTCCTGCCGGGGCTGGGTTTGAACTATCATCCTCAGATCTCAGCCTCCTGAATAGCGAGGATTATAAGCATGAACAACTGGCATCTAGCTTGGGAATCTTCAATACAGTTTTGGAACTCTATGTTCTGGACCACATTTTCTCTCTTTGGAAACAACCTTAATATTCTCACCCTTCACCTGATATAAATTAAAAGTGGACCAAGAAAACATAATTGAATGATTCCTAGTTGTCATCTTGAAAAGTTCAAGAAGTTATAAATTATACAGTAGAATCAACATTTGGAAAGAAATTAACATGTGGTTTAGTTTTAAAAAGCCTATAATAATTCAGGGAAATATTTTGATAAACTTACATGACATTTAATATGAATATTGTATTTTCAGTATCGTACTTGTTTTTTCTTTGTGCACAAACTTAAAGTTCTACTATCCTTTAAAGGTGAATTTGTTATAAACACATGGCAGCAATTTTGTTTCCAGTGAATTTCAAGATTCAGAAAAAACATCTGTAAGTTAATATTGAAATTAGAAATATTCACATCCACTTTTCTTTTAATATATAGACTACCTTTAATAAGTGTTGCACTAGTCCAAGGTCGGGCATTGGGTGGAGGAGCAGAATTTACTACAGCTTGTGATTTCAGGTAAGGTAAAAATTGTATTCTTTCTCACATAAATATTAGTAGTCTATGCTGAGATCATTTTGTTGCCTTAATGTCAATATTTTATATATTCTTAAACAGGATAATCAGTTAATGAATATTTTTGTTAGTCATTAAAGTAGACACTAAGTTTAGAATGATTACTATTTTACTGTTAACTCATGAATATACATACTTAACCAATATTTTCTAGTATTTGGTACATTTTATTCTTGTTTGAATAGTTCTAAAAATAGTTGGATTTATAATGTATCTATTTCAGACTTCTATATTGGCCTTTTAGTTTTTATGAAACTATAATGAAAACTAAGAATTAAACATTAGGAAACTTCACATAGTGTCTTCTATAGAACCTTTGTTTAGAGCCTGTTTTTAAAGTATTTTATATAATACAGTGTTTGGTCACTATCTTCTCTCTTAAGCTCCTGCCTACTAATATTATTCTGAGAAGGCTTCCTGATATTTTTGTTCTGTATATATAAAACATAGTTTCATGAGTTACAAAAAAATTAAAAACCTATGTAATAATAACTTTTGGAATCCCTTACTTTCCCCTCTCAGTCATAGCTCCTCCTTTATACTAGGATTAACCATGCTGTAAATTTTATCATTCTTTTTTGTTTTTCTTCACTTTTATGAAGTAGATAGATACCTGTAACAAATACATATTTGGAAAAATATATATTAAAAGCATCATAGTACAATAAAAATAGCATGAGAGGTTCAGTGGACATAATTTATGTAAAATAGCAACATTTGGAATATTTGTATAATTTATGACTTGTCACTTTGTACTCATTTAGAGATATTAATTTAGATTTGCTATATGAGACAATTTAGAGATCCTATCCTCTGAAAACTAGTAATTCCTAATTGAACAGTCTATAGTGCCCTCTGCTGTCATTACTGCAGATTGCATTAGGATGATACTACCTTTTGTTCTATGAGGAAGCCATTAATGGCTTTAGGGTGAGGTGGCCCTAAATAGGAAATTCTCTGTGGAAAGATTTTTTTTTTTCATTTTACCACAAAATCAGACATTTATGGATTATATAGTTTAAGTTTTTAGTAATACAAATATTTAAATATATGTTTAAAGAGCTCTAAAGTATAGGCAAGTGAGCATTAAAACTCCTCTACAAGAGCCAGGATGAGATCATGATTCAAAGACAGCCTGGGCAGAAAAGTCCATGGGACTCTTACCTCCAATTAACCCCCCCCCACACACACACACAAAAGCCAGAAGTGGAGCTATGGACTCAAGATCACTACCCTTGAGCAAAATGAACTCAGGGGCAGTGTGTTAGACCTGAGTTCAAACCCCAGGACTGGCACATACACACCAAAAAAGTACACACATTGAAGCCAAAAGTGCCCGAGTTTGTCCTGGCTCTGCCACAGCCATATGGTTTTGATTGAGGTATTTGTTACCTGTTTTCTCACGTGTAAAATTTAGAATTACGGTAATATTATATGGTTTAGTTAATAAATCCTTTTGTGGATTTTGTCTAAATAACTTCATACTTTAAAGAATAAAATCTGAATTTTCCATAGTAAGGTCTCTAAGTCTGTGTCTCTGATTTTCTCTGCCTCCCTATTACTTTTTGCATGTTTCTCCTGTTTTGGCTTGGTCTCCAGGTAGTAAGCAGTTCTGCTTCAAGGCTTTTGCACTTGGAATTCCTTCTTCTTGGACTGCTTTTCAGGGTTTTGCTTTGGTTGCTAGGTAGCTGCTCCAGTATTCAGAGGTCTTCTCTAATTAAAATAGCACATCCTCAACACACATTCCTTTCTCCATCTATTTTTTAATGATAGGTATCACCTTACACGGCTCAGTGTCCCTTCTTTCCAAAGCCCAAGAATTTTTACTTTGCTCATCCCTTTAGAGTCAGCACCAAGAACATATCGGCAGTGCTTAATATTTGCTAAATGGATATTGGGCTTACAAGTTTTCTCTCCTGCATATCTTGAGGAGTAAGAGGGAAACTTACTATGCAGTTTTCTTGAACAGTATACAGCATTGCTATGCCCATTACTGATCCAGGTTTCTACATATAGTTAACTATTCCTTTTACAAAAATAACATTTGGGCTTTTAGAAGGAAACATGTTTGCAGCAAATAAGTAAGCAAAATACAATTTTTTTGTTTTTTGCTGTCGGTCGTGGGGCTTGACCTCTGGGCCTGGGCACTGTCCCTGAGCTCTTTAGCTCAAGGTGAGTGCTCTACCACTTGAGCCACAGTGCCACTTCTGGTTTTCTGGTAGTTTATTGGAGGTAAGAGTCTCACAGACTTTCTTGCACCACACCTGGCTTTGAACCACAATTCTTAATCTCAGCCTCCTGAGTAGTTAGGATTACAGGCATGAGCCACCAGCACCTGGCTGCTAATGTTTTTTACAAAGTCAAATTTTAAGTACTAATTAAATTCTAGATGGACTTTTTTTTTTCTTTTCTGTCAGCCCTGGGGCTTGAACTCAGGGTCTGGTCACTGCTTGAGCTTTTTTTGCTCAAGGCTAGCACTCTACTACTTGAACCACAGCGCCACTTCCGGCCTTTTCTGTTTATGTGGTACTGAGGAATCGAACCCAGGGCTTCCTGCATGCTAGGCAAGCACTCTCTACCACTAAGCCACATTCCTAGTCCCTAGATGGACATTTTTCTAACATTGTCTTTCATACTTTGTCTCTGAGATCAATGGAGATTCATACCAGATCATGATATGAAATATATCACTATTTAATTTGATATTAAATATATCACATAGTGACAGTAACATTTTCCATTTTGCTTTTTCAGGTTAATGACTGCAGAGAGTGAGATCAGATTTGTCCACAAGGAGATGGGTATAATCCCAAGTTGGGGTGGTGCCTCCCGGCTGGTCGAAATCATTGGTAGTAGACAAGCTCTCAAAGTGTTAAGTGGAGCTCTCAAACTGGATTCCAAAAAAGCTTTAAATATAGGAATGGTTGAAGAGATCTTGCAATCTTCAGATGAAACTAAATCTCTAGAAGAGGCACAAGAGTGGCTAATGCAGTTTATCAATGGGCCACCAGAAGTCATTAGAGCTATGAAAAAGTCTGTTTGTTCAGGCAAAGAACTATATTTAGAAGAGGCATTACAGAATGAGAGGGATCTCTTAGGAACAGTGTGGGGTGGACCTGCAAATTTAGAGGCTATTGCTAGGAAAGGAAAATTTAATAAATAGCTCTTAAAAACATGGATGTACTACAAGTAAAGCTCCAATGGTTAATATGCATGAAGGTTAAAATTACTTAATATGAACAGCAGAATTATTTTCAAGTCTAGTGCTCTCAGTTGTTCATAACTTTTTGATTATTTATTGGTCTTAGATTCTTACCAGTTTTTGACTAAGACATACAACACTTTTTGCTTAAAATTATTTCTGTCAATTTCTATATTCCTATAATAGCTCTTAGATCACTGTGAAAAGATGTTTTTCCTACACTTATTTGGGGGTTGTTTTTCATAAAATGTTTGTTTCTTACCTGGAAATTATTTACAAAAGTAACAATGAAACTTTTGGTCAAAGAATAAAAATGGAGAGTGAATAGAACAGGAAAATAAGAAATGTTATGATTAATAATTTTCTTCTGCTTCAAGCACCTTGAGTAAACTTGGTCCTTCACTCCCTTTTACAAAATTAGTCTTGTTATTTGATCTTTCCTGTTTTCTATTAAATAATCTGCTAAAGAATGGTAGCCATGTCATGGAACACAGGCTCCTGTACAAACTGGTCATTCATGTTAACTAGAATTTCCAATCTGATAATATATAGTACTTTTGATATAGTTTTAAAATTGAAGCTCTCCAGATTGAGGCATCCTACAACAAAATCTTCATTTTTCATCAATATTTGAAGACTAACTTTTGTAACAAGTTATCCTTGGGTAGTAAATTTATCAAAACTGATACAACTCAGCACTGGGAATGTGGCTCAATGATGGAGTACTTGCTTCGCATGCATGAGGCCCTGGGTTCGATTCCTCAGCACCAAATAAATGGGAAAAGCTGGAAGTGGTGCTGTGGCTCAAGTGGTAGAGCTCTAGCCTTAAGCACAGAGAGGCTCACGGGCAGTGTTCAGGCCCTGAGTTCAAGCTCCAGGACCAGCAAAAAACAAAAAACAACAACAAAAAACCTGATACAACTCAAACTAATTGATCATCTAAGTAACTCACTTAATGTGTAGGTAAAGCTGGTGCTGATGGCATGCTTAAACCTAGCTAGTCATGAGGCTGAGATGTGAGGATCATGGTTCAAAGCTGGCCTGGGCAGAAAAGTCCCCGTAAGACTATTATCTCCAATTAACCACTCAAAAACCAAAAGTGGAGCTATGGTTTAAGTGTAATCCTAGCTACTCAGGAGGCTGAGATCTGAGGATTACAGTTCAAAGCCAGTCTGGGCAGAAAAGTCCCCAATTAACACTCAAAAACTAAAGTGGAACTGTGGTTCAAGTGGTAGAGCAGTAGCCTTGAGCACAAAGAGGCTCAGGGACAGCACCCAGGTCCTGAGTTCAAGCCCCACAACTGACAAAAAAAAAACAGAAAAAAAATATAGGTCAGACATGAGTCTAAACTATCAAAACAAGAGGTAAAAGATTTCAAAGTAGTGACAGTTTCAGAGTATTAACAGTAGTGACAGCTTTTTATCAGATTATCTTACTGCTTCAAGTTAAGATAGACTTTTTTTCAGGGACAAATTTTAGATTACCATGTTTACCCAGTATTTTATCCTTTGCCAAGACAAAAACATCCAATAAAAGTGGATTTTCTGATCTACATGTGAAATTCCTATCTATGAATGATGTTTGTAAGTAAATCTGCCCATCTAGACCATAATAACTCTAATGAAGATTGAGAAGGAATATAAAATACGGTGTTAGCTGTTTTAGAAATGAGTTTACTTCCATAACTGTTTACTCCACACATAATTCAATTTAATTGTTTTCTATGAAGAAATTAAACTTCTGAATCGGTGATTAAGTAGAATATAATCAATTCCAGCCATTACCTTTATAGTGACCTTTGGCCACAATCACTGAAGTATTTCCATCCCTTTTCCAGACTCAAACCAGAGACAAATTATTTTTGATAAACTCTAGTATTTATTAAATTATAAACTTTTTAATCAAAAAGAAAAATTCAGACCAAGAGAAACCTCAAAGTACAAGGACTAGACAGCAAAGCCTATGGGAAGGAACATCATGAAGTGTGTTACAAAGATGCTGAAACATAAGTTTTACTAGCTGTTTACATTTCCATTTCAATACTTTACTATAAAATAGTTGTTATTTATCTATTTTGAAGTTCCAAATTCACATCCACTTCCACATTAAATTAAGCTTCCTGTGTATAATGACATCAAACATCTTACGGGTGCAAAATTTTAGTAATGATTTTATGTTAACCCATGCAAAAAAATAAAACAGTGCAAGAGTCAGATGTGGACCATTAATGCACAGATAAAACACACACTGTCCAAAAGAACTAAGGAAATCTTTTAAAAAATTTAAAGTAAACATGTCAAGAAAACTGGGTTACTACTAAACAGCTCTCAACTATTAATACCCAAATTTCTTACATTAAATAAATTTCTCAACAGAGACATGTTAAGACATTTTAATTTCCGGTCTATCCTTCCCATATCCCTTCCCACCCCAACTCCCAAAATGCACTATTAGGGATGAGTATAATGTTATGTGGGCAGAAATTTACAGATCACCATTTCAGCCTTGAGTGTGAAACTGAAGATGTTTATTTAAACTTCAGTTACTGTGCACTGTCCGTCAGGCCTTCTAGATCTGACACTCACACTCACTGTTCCTCCCCCTGCTACTGACCGATCAGCTCCAGATCGATCTGACCGATCAGCTACTGTCTGGTTTGTATTAGAAACCAAAAGTCTCTGTTGGGTCAAAGAGTGCTGTGCAACAACTGCAGAAACATCTTCACTCTCACTACTGGCATCAGATTCAGTTTCTTCATTGGAAGTGTCTGGTACCCTGCCTGAAGATGGTGATTCATGATCTTCTTCTCCTTCCCCTCTGTGACTCCTTTCAGCTATGCTGTCTCCACTGAGTTGTAAATGAGCAAAAGAGTCTTCCAGAGTAGTGCCTGCATCAGGGGAGGGTGTTGCAGGACTGGTTAACTGACCATCTATTGATGTTAAGGGCCTTACAGAAGATGACACCGGAGGCTGAGCAGAAGCTCCGCTCTGTGCTGATATGCTGTCCGCTCCATCTGCAGAACTCTCTCTTGCTAGGTTTACAGTATTAGTGTCACAATCCAGTCTAAGTCCAGCTACACCCTTCTTTGGTATATCTATTATATCTCTCTTAATCTTCCTGCGACGTCCATGTTCATTTCTCCTATATTGAACCATATTTTCAAGATCAGCAACATATAGAAACCCAGCAATTAACATCTCAGTGTTCTTTTTACCCTTGGAGAAAGCATCTTCCAGCTCTCTACTAGTACGCTCATCATACTGCCACCACCCATTTCTTCCTTCATAATACCATGCATATTCACCATTTCCTCTACTTGCTGCCTTGAGTTCTTCTGGTGATAACAAAGTTGGCTTGTCAAGGAAATCTTCTGGAATTTCTTGTCGACAAAGGGCACATCTCTTACCAAGCCATGAAGCTCCTTTTACACACAGATAGCAGAAAACATGCTTACAGGGCAAACTGACGGGGTGAACACACGTTTGCAGACAAATGGCACATTCAGGAACAGGTAGAGAAGGTGCGCTATTAGAACAGGACTCATTTGCTTTCCTGTTTGTAGGAAGCATGTTCATTGAATGATCAATTTCACCACAGCCAGCCATCCTAAGAAAACAAAAAATGCAATATTGAAATCATATTTCAACTTTTCTAATACTTTAACAATTCAGAATGATTAATTATACTGCATGGCACATATTACATACTAGGGATATAAAAATGAAAATTGATTATAGTCAATTTGAATAGGAAATCTTTTTGACTTGCATAAGTGCACTGTAAAGTTATTTGTAGGGAGCAAGGAAGAGTACAATGTTAGACTGAAAAAAAAAGCCAAAGTCTAGACTTTATATATATACATATATATACCATTTCTACTCAGACACAGCATTTGTAAGATAAAATTAAATGCAAATATTAATAAAATGTGAATGATCAGGACTGACTTTACAATTGGTTTGAAAAATAAAACTTCAAAGTAATTCAGATAATATAGGCAGTAACCAGCCATTAAAATTTTTTTGTTAACATTTTGGGTTCTTAACAAATAGATTATATGAGATTAGGACTAATGCTGAAAGCCTGAATTTCCATATGCCTTCTGTATATCGAAACAAACTGGCTCAACCAGTCATTTGTCATATATTACCATTTCCATTCTGAAACACTTCTCTAACAAATTTTTGTCTTTTATTATATACATTTTTAGACAACATGCTCTTCTATGCTTGACTTTGAGATGTTATCTACTTTGAAATATGTGTTACATATGAAATATGTAACAAAAATTGCTGTCATTAATCCAGACTTCTCCAGCCATAGACCTATATTTCTAATTGCTTATTTTAGATTTATGATATTTGGAAGCTACAAACTGAACCCATGATCAACTTACCTTTTACATGCTAGAATAGTTCTCATGATAACAGCACTATGCACCTGCTTATCCAAGCCCATAATCCAGCCCAGAAACTGCCCTTCTTTTAAGCAAATTGAAAGGCAAATGTACCAATCTTCCATGCAAATCTTTCCAAGAAAATCCTGGAAGATTGATGTATATGCCTTTTAATTGGTCCAGCACACTCCTTTCTTAAAAGTTCACTTTTGGATTAAGACACATCTTTAAAAGGATGAGTTACAGCTTGTATGGTCTGCCTCACTACACAGCCTTCTACAATAGGCTCTCTTTTTTTGGTGGTCGTGGCACTTGAACCCTGGGCCTTGGCACTGTCTCTCAGCTCTTCAGCTTAAGCCTAGCACTCTTATCACTTGAGCCACAGTGCCACTTGCGGTTTTCTGGTGTTTAATTGGAGATGAGAGTCTTACGGACTTTCCTGCCCAGGCTGACTTTGAACCAAGATCCTAAGACCTCAGCCTCTTGAGTAGCTAGGATTATAGGCTTGAGCCACCAGTGCCTGGCTAGGCCCTTCTTATGTTCAACTTCCTTTTGACTCGCCACTAATGAACATTTTCTTTGGGGCATGCTCTTCATCTCTTGCCTTCCCTCCCTCTCTAGAACAAAGTACTTATCCATATTTCACTCCTCTTGAGAAAGCTTCCATGAGCAAGTCAAATTACCCTATTATCTTTTGTACACTCCTTATTCTGTATCAGAATTGCAATGTAACATTTATTTGTGTGAATGTTAATGTTGGTCTTCTTCACAAGTTGGTATGCTTTATAAGAATGGGAACAGGCCATTTGGGGCCATCTATATAATTCCATACAGGATCTGACAACTGCTAAGAAAAGTTTTTTCAAACAATAACATGAATACATTGGTATAAAACCTTGTGAAAACATACACTGTACCAATGTATAAAAATTCTGTCAGTGTACTTACCTATCAGCCCTGAAGAAGCACACTAAAAACCTATCAAAGCTATGGACAGCCATGAAAAAAGACAATGAATTAAGTCAGTTGCTATATTTTAAAACCAAAGCTCACCTAAGTCCTAGTCTCCTTTACTAATTATGTGCTTTTACTCTTTACAAGCACTGTTCTTCAGATCAACTGACTTAGTTTTTATACTAAAAACTTTAAAATCTTGGCTTTACCATTTTAGTACCTTAATCTTCATAAACACTTGTGAAACCACTAAAGGTGAGAATTAGCTAACATGTTCTGTATTGTAAATCCTAATCCAGGGGTTAGGATTCAAAAATCTGTCTTTTATAAAATGATGGGATTATTCTCTGAGAAATTTAGAAAACACTGACTTAGGCAAGTGTGTTAACCTAAGTCTGTTTCTTAACATTAATAGGAAACAGTATCATATACTATGATTAAATTTAATACCCAAATAAAACACCAAGTAAATACCTGGTAAAATAGTAAGTAATAAACATTCATTTCCTTTACTTACTTGGATGTCTCCTCCCTCTTCTAATTGCTCTCCAACTATTATAAATGCCTTGATGTTGGGCAATTGTAGCAACTTCTCATTCTGATGGGTTGAAAACTATTTCCTAATACTTTCTGATTGTTAAATTCTACTCATTCTTTAAGGCCAAGCTAAAAGTACTTCAGTTTACTCTCAACCTTTCACGTGGAATTAATTTCTTCTTCCTCTCAGTTCCAATAGCACATTTTAAAGCTTACAGTTCTATTACAAATTCCACAGCTGCCTGTCACAAAAATAAAACATTTGTTCATTATCTATTTGTCTTACTATACTAACCCATAGTGAGTTCCTTGGTAATCAACATCTAGAATATCTGAATTTTTTTTTTTAATGTCGTCCATGGGGCTTGAACTCTGGACCTGGTGCTGTCCCTCAGCTCTTCAGCTCAAAATGAGCGCTCTTCCACTTGAACCCCAGCACTACTTCCAGTTTTCTGGTTGTAACTCAGAGATGTAAGACTCATGGACTTTCCTGCCTGGGCTGGCTTTGAACCATGATCCTCAGATCTTAAGCTAGGATTACAAGTGTGAGCCACCAGGGCCTGGCTTAGATTATTTGATTTAAAAGCTTAAAAAATAAAACAGGTTGGGAATGGGGATGTGTCTCTGGAGTAGAGCTCTTGCTTATTAAGTATGAGGCTATGGGCTTATTATAAATAAATATATTATATATATATATTTTTTTTTTTTTCACACAAGGCTGGCAGTCTACCATTTGAGCCAACCTTCACTTCCAGCTTTTTGCAGGTTAACTGGAGATAAGAATCTCTTGGCTTTGTCTGTCCAGGCTGGTTTCAAACCTTGATCCTCAGATCTCAGCCTCCTGAGTAGCCAGGATTTCACCTATGAGTTCATTTTTTTCCTTTAATGTACATAGACACACATCACTAAATACCCATTTGCTCCAATCTAAAGCATCTACTCTATAAGGTCACTTTGGTCTAAGAATTTAAATACTATAGTCACTGAGATTTTAAACATGTTTTTTAATGCAATTCAACTATGATGTTTAGTTGGGAAATATTTCATAGATAATATAATTAAGTTCAATAGAAGCAAACTCAATAGTCTGACATGTTAAAGCATATCACAAAAAGATTAAAAGAAAAATACAACTACTAAGACTACAAATCACAGTGAACCAGTATAAAAAAACCAATAATGTTCAGTTATGGTAGAAAATTCTTTAAATTTAATGAGGCAAAATTGAGTTAGGCAGACAGCTAAAACTGTCTGACTTTATTTAAGTAAAGAGAAGGTAGAACACCTGGAGGCCTGGGGGAGGGGGAGAGGCTTCTTATCTTTTTTGTTGTTGTTAGCCTTATGAGCAATTCCTTCATTTTCAGTTCACTTCTTATACTTTATGAGATGACTTTGGAAATCTCCTTTTTTAAAAAAAAATGTAAATAAGATTTTTAACTCAATAGAGCACCTACAGCCAACATGAAATACTCATTCTGTATAATTAAAACTTCATGACATAAATTTGACTACTGTACTTTATACCACACCATTTCAGTTTTGGCAAAAACAAATACTTACATTTCCATTACAGATTCCACATATGTTTGCCACAAAAATAAAGCATCTTCTTTACCAGCAGTCAGCCAACTTGCAGTGGTTTCTCTTTCACTTCTGGCTCATTCTTTGTGCTGAAAAAGAAAAAAAAAAAGAAACTTCTCAGACTAAGATCAGCAGAGTTAGCTAATTTCCCATTATACTTTTATTATATTTCCTATTACACTTTACAAAATGGGCAAGTTTTTAATTGAAAGTAAAAAAAATTAAGAATGCCTGTTTGCTCCACTATTAACACTATAGTACTGGGAAGTTCTAGTAATTACACTGGAAAAAGAAGTAAAAGGTAGACAAGTTGGTAAAAAAAAATTACAATGTACATTTTCACTCATACAGACAGTAAAAATCACTATTCTAACTTTGCAGATATTCTGAAGAGATCAAATAAGTTCAGTGAAGTTGGTTACAATCTTGACACACAGACACAAACACACATATCCAAAAGTGGTGTTTCTATACACTACTAGTAATCAACAAACTAAAATGCACACCGAGGAAGCATTTCCATGTATCTAAAGAAATAAATTGCTAGGAACCAACCAAAGAGCTGGTAGACTTACTTACACAATTGGGAAATAAATGTTGCTAAGATTATGGTATAATTGAACCCTTCAGCACCACTGGTGGGAATGTGAAAATGTAGTTCTTGTAGATGGCTGTTCAATTTGATGGCTGTTCAAAAAGTTAAAACATAATTACTATATACCCCAGCAGTCCCACTTATAGTTACATGCCAAAGTAATTGAAAACTGGGACTCAGATAATGTCAGTACTTGTCAAGGAATTACCAGTAAAAGAAAAAAAAGGTAGACCCGAGTGTGTCTCAACAGGTGAATGAATATACAAAACACAGCATATACATGTATTACTTAGTAACAGAATGTGCGTCATCCAACATAGATGAACCCTGAAGATATTATTCTAAGTGAAATATGCCAGTAACAAAGTTACATTTGACTTCGTAGAGAAAAAGTAGATTAAAGGTTATCAGGGACTAGGTCAGGAGGAGACACTAGTTACATCATTGCTTATTTCATATAGGTGTCTCACCACTGGCTATAAAATATGCCACAATTCCCTACTGCACTTTCAACCTTTAAGGCACTGACTTCATTATTTTTAGCATAGATCATTTCCTTCACCCTATTTCCTGACATCACTATGTCTATTTAATATCCTTGAGAATGATCCATCCAACATCTATCTCAGAGGTTTTACAACTTGCTCCAACTAATAATACCTGTTAGAAATAAGTTTCTAGCTACAAATACACTTTCTCAAGGCCATATTCCTATTCTAAGTTCCAATTTCTAAGATCCTAAAAATCAAGTAATTTTCATTATTGAATAATTCCTACTACACTCAGCAACTAAGTATCATCAGAGCCCAAAAGTGCTGCTCTTTTGAAACCATAATCACATCATACACGGGTCAATCCAGCTCACTCATTCCCACACCTGCACTTTAATTATGGAGACCTTGAGTCTCTTAACCACCTCCTGTTTCTTTATACTGTTTTGGATCTCATATTCCTTCCTACCCATTTTGGAACTCAATCATTTTTTAACTTGCTAGTGCTCTATCCCTTGAGCCACATGTCCACTTCTGGTAAGAGCCTCATGGACTTTCCTGCACTGGCTACCTTTGAACTGAGATGCTCCAATCTCAGGCTCCAGAGCAGCTAGGATTACAGGTATGCCTGACCTAATTTCTTCCTTAATAGAACCATGAGCTCAAACCATTTCTTTCTCATCTGTATACTTCACAAACTCCTACCTCTATGTAAGGAGTAAAGGAGAAAATTTTCTGCTTCCCTCGGTCAGACCAACCACACCAAATCTTATCAACTTTTATCACTAACATTGTTTACAATCTATCCTGTACTCCTTACTCATGACTAGTGCCCTAAATTTAGGTCCCTGTCTTACCTTGACTAGGACAGACTATCTTGCTTCAGTACCACTCTGAAATTCAATCACTTAGTATGTGAATGAATTTATTAAGTGAATGAATTTAAAATGCAAAATTGACCATGCATTTTCTAACTCAAGGAACAGTATTGATTCCCCATCCTATACAATAAAAGAAAAGCTCAGGACAAAAGCCAAAGGCTTTAGTGATCTGACCCTAAGTAATTTTCCAGGCTTATTTATCTCTGAAAATCAGATTATTACTGTAGTTATACTATTCATAGACTGCCAAGCCTTCCTTAATAATTCTGTATTTTTTCCTGTTATAACCTTTTCCTTTTACAACTTACAAACACCTGTAATATACAATCCAGAAATGGTTATCTCTACCATTCTACCTCCAGAAGATTCACTGATTCCTCTTCTCTATTTTGTACATTTTTCCATTACTGAACTTATTACATTTTCTGATGCTATTCATTTAACATTTTAAACCATAAACCCCATCAAGATAGGGACATATTTTATATCCCTGTGTAGTTACTAAACTGCTAATACATGGCTGATGAATTAATATTTATTACTAAGTAAAAATTAATTTCTTTAAATAACTTTGGTTATTCATAAAACACAATACTTGAATTTTAATTGTAAACAAAGAACCCAACTAAAAAGACATAAAACTAACCTTTTCTTTGAAGAACTTCAAGTGTAATGAATTAGTTACAGTTACAAATACAAGATTCCAATCATCTTTGTATCTTTAGAAAGCAAAATTACCTACCTACTGTCCACTTGCAGTGGATTCTCTAGAATGCAAACACAATCCAACAATAGTTTCTAGATACTTTCAGAACTCTTTTCCCAATAAAGATAAATGTGATGATAAGATACAGCCCAACATTTGTCTAGTTTGTCCCTGCTTCCTGGAAAAACGCATCCTTGTTTGGAAAAATTGTAATAGACAAGCTCCCCTTTCTCCATCACAAAGATTTTCAGATCATCACTCAAAAGTCAAATATACTCTATACACATTCTAAAATGAAGGGTTTTTGTTGTTGTTTTGTTTTGTGTTTGTCAGTTGTGGGGCCTGAACTCTGGGCCTGGACGCTGTCCCTCAGATCTTCAGCTCAAAGCTAGTGCTTTACCACTTGAGCCACAACACCACTTCTGGCTTTTTCTGCTTATGTGGTACTGAGGAATTGAACCCAGGACCTCATGCATGTAAGGCAAACACTCTACCACTGAACCACCTTCCCAGCTTCAAAATGAAGGTTTATTAATTACAAAAACTGCAGAATATTACTGCTTATCATTAGCTCCTACCTATGTCTTTAAAGTAATCCTGTTGGATCAACTCAGGTATATAGATTGTACCTTTCTCCTCCTATAAAACACACAGGAAGCGGGTGCTGGTGGCTCATGCCTGTAATCCTAGCTATTCAAGAAGCTGAAATCTGAGTATTGTGATATACAGCCAACCTGGGCAGGAAAGTCTGTGAGACTCTCATCTCCAATAAACTACTCAGAAAAGGCCAGAAGTGGTCCTGTGGCTCAAGTGGTAGAGTCCCAGCCTTGAGCCAAAGATGCTCAGGCATAACACCCATGCCTAGAGTTCAAGCCCCAGAACTGGCAACACCAAAAAAAAAAAAAAAAAACCACAGGAAAAATTGCTAGTTCTAACTTCATTTTTTTCTTGCATTCATTTTCAACTTTTCTCTTTAATAAAATTCCAATGATTTCCACTCTAATCACTTACTTATACCAGTCTTGCCCATAAATATCTTATCTTTGAAATGCTTCAATGCTTTAAAAATCTCCTAAAAATCCTGTATCTGGTCACCTATATAAGTTATCCTTTTTATAAATTTTACCTAACTGAAGTAAACCTATAACCACAAGTATTAAAGTAAAAGCTATAATACATACATACATAAATATATATATGATATATATGGGTGAGAATGTTGAATGGGTCACACTAATCAAGATACATTGTATTCATAAACTGCTTTGTTAAATGGAAACTCCATTGTACAACTACCTACAAAAAAGAAGAAAAAAATACACATATAATCAACATAAAAAAAAAAGTCTTGTTGACGCAGGGCAATAGTTCCATTACTCTCCTTTATGTAAGACTAACAAATGAATTAAAAAAATTTATCAACTACATAATGTATTCTCTGATAAAATCCTTTATGTCCCCTCCTCCCCCACCCAGGACCAGGGACCTATTCAGTCAATAAACAATAGTAAAACATCTATGAAATTATTTTGGCTATGAAACCATATTCCTTCAATCTGATCCTTTTCCTTGAAAGAATACTGTCACTGTCATCAGGTGCTTCTATTCTACTTACATTATTTCACTTGTAGTCTACACTGACTTTCAAAAATATATTTGTAAATCAACATAATCTGACTCTTCTAGGCAAATTTTCAAATACTATTTCACCAACAAGTTTGACTCCAGCTAAAAGCAGGCCAATGTCAAATAGAACTCTATAAGATTTTTTTAAAGACTCTTGCATACTGTAACCTTTTCAAATTCTATACCAAATAGATAATTTTCAAAGCAGACACTAAGTAAATGACAAAGTGGAAGGAAGGAAAATGAACTAAAATATAGTAATCTAGGTTCCAACTATGCACATGCAAACTGTGGTCCCAACCAACTTTCTGGAAGTTCCTGAAGCCCTACCCCAGACCTGCTGAATCAGATATCCATCTAGTTTCTATGTGTGTTAGTTAGGGAGGTACTTCTGGACCCAATACATAAAGGTATCTTCAGAAACCTATGTACTAAGACTATATGTATTCTATGCATGAGGAATCCTAGGGTCAAAAACTTACCTATAGCCACAAAGCTATCAATACAAAATTAGACTTAAGTATAATACAGGCTTAAAACATCATTTTCAAAAACTGAGCATGACGGTACAACACATGCAATCCCAGTACTAAGGAGGCTGAGGTAGGATGGAGAGTTTGAGGCTAGCCTGGTTTACACAGCAATATCTCATCTCAAAGAAATCAGAACTTCCTACAGTATGCAGTGTCTCACCATGAAAGTGTTTAGAACAGTATTATATAACATATATGTTGCAGGCCATACATCTAATTTCAAACTTTTAATTAGTTACATTAAAACTCATAAAAAGAAACAAGATCAATTTAATAATATATTTTTATTCAATTCAGTATAGCTACAATATTATTTCATAAGCAGTCAAAATAAAAATTATTAAGGTGAAATATTTTTACATTTGTGTGTGAGCTTTATGAAGTACAATGTAGACTGGCCACATTCCAAGTGCTATAGCCCCATGTAGTAACTACTCTACTTGGCAATGCACATCTATAATGGCTTACACATTAAAACAAAGATTAACAATTTTTTTTAACATGAAATGTGTTATTACAAGAATCACTTCAGCTAAACTTACCCATCAACTACAGCCTTGCAAGTTATAATGTTAATGAGGCACAAAAGGAAGCATACATTTAATTCTCAAAACTTCATGCAAAGAAGCCTTCAGAAAATTTCCACAAATTTTGTTTCCTACAGAAACAGTATTAATTACAACTCCACTCTTTAAGCCACTGGTAAGCTCAAAAAACTTTTCCAGATAGTATATATCAAATTAAAAAATTTTGACACATTTTCCCAATTAAGAGATACTGTGTAATAAAGTAAGTTTTTAGTCTGTACTTACTCAAAATACACAAATGTCCAGAAGTTCTGTGATAGAAAAAAATAACTTCAAAACCTTCCAACTTCGGGCACATAACTCAAATACACACTGTGTACACACACACACACACACACACACAACTGGAAAAAGAGAAAAGATCAGGTGTAATGAAGCAGATACATTTTAACAGTTCTTAAGAGTTCCAAATTGAAAAATGTAACTAAGTGCCATAATGTATCCATTGTTAGCCTCTATTACCCTTGTTACAAAACAGCTTACAGAAAAGCCTAGGTCATATCTCCAAACCAGTCTTCAGTCAAAACTCCTTTCAGGTAAATGGGCTCCAATACTTAATTTTCTTTCCGTTAGAAAACCTTTAAAATTTTCCTCCCAAAGTGGGCCTTGCATCAATAAAATATGATATGTAAGTGTGAACAAATACTGTCTGATACAGGTATCATGTATATATTCATAGCCAGCAAGTATTCTGTAAGAAAGTCTTGCTAATTATTGTGTGACCTGGGTCAAGTCATAATTTTCATGTCGTAGTTTTTCATCCTATGGTACAATTCTATATTTCCAAATGTTTTAACAGGCACTCAGTGGTGTGGTTTAATTAATAAGCAATGAATACTACACAGAGGCCACAAGTGGTTATAGCTAAGGGTTGTATAAATACACACAGTAAGACTGGTTATAATTCAGATTGTTGTATCACAAACTCAAGACTCAGTCAGAAGGCAATGAAACAGAGAATAGTAAAGACATGTCATCTTCCATTGTTAACACTGGAAGAAAAAGAAGTATTCAGATCTCCAATTGCAATTGGTTGGACCTTTTGTACTAATATATGGCTAACTCAGAAAACAATATTTTATTAAATAGATCAATGTGAAAAGATTTATTCCTATCATTTTCTTCTTAAGTCAAGAAATGATCTTGGATCCTTTCCAAAAAAAAAAGTGTGCTCCTTTCTTTTGACAATTCAAGTTGGTGAAAACTGAAACACTTTACCAGCAGTTGACATGTCTCCTAAAAGAAAAAAAAAGTCATTTCCTTTTTAATTCCTTTTATCTAACGACTAGTTATTTGAAGAAAGTGTTCTTGATGATTGTAATTCTATCCAATTCTTAGCAAACAGTAACCTTTCAATGTGTAAGTACCCGTATTTTTATTCTGCCCAAAATTTACAGAGGTCCATCTGAAACACAAACTCTAAACCCAAGTGTTCCACTTTAAGAAAGTCAGAGGCCCAAACAAACAAATCCCAAATCTATTTTTAGAGTGGCATTCATTCTTCAGTTTTCTTTAAAATGAGATGACGACCTATTTTTTTTTAAGAGCACTCAGTCTCTGAACAAACATTTGCTAGTTAAAAACAATAACAACAACAATTACAAAACCCAAATCAAAAATCCTCTTATCCGTGCGGGTCATTTTCTTCATGTGTCCTAATCTGCCACATTTTAAAAAAGTTATAAATTCAGTTACTGAATTGCTTTCCACCTTTACAATTATATCTTGCCTTGGATGCTCATGTAACAGATTCAAATCTCATTTGACATACTATACCACAGACACACAGACACGGTTAAGGGGGGGCACCCTGGCACTTGACCTATCAATCAATCATTAAAAGAACAAAGCTTTTCCTGAGTCTCTTCTCCCTCTCATTTCTATACTATTTCGGGATTTCAAACATAAAATTATAAAGGCTCGTTAAAATACCACTTGGAGGTAAAAAATAATATTATATATAGTTATAATATCCAAAGGATTAACCAGACAAACAATTCTAGTTGCCACACTGTGTGTGTGTGTGAACTTCACTGCCCTGTGAAGATGATGGCTCCACCTCCACAGTTTCAAAAACAATGTTACAGCCTTCCTTGCGCCGCGTTCCGTAAATAAGATAGCAATCACAATGGAAAAAAATGAGCCTTACTCTTTCAGCAGAGACGGAGAGGAGGGGGGGAGAACGCGGCGCCCCCACCACCGCCAGAACAAAGCCAAGGTCTGGGCTTTTCGGATGCACTGGGGCCCCGCGGAGGAGGCTCGCGGGGTATGGTGGGGACACTTCGGAGGTTGGATGCTTTTCGGGACCGTCAAAACAAGTCGGAATCTAGGCAAGGCTGCCTTTCACCGGGGCAGGGCGGAGAGACTGCGCTCTGCCAGTCAGACCAGACCCGAAGGCGAGGCTGGAGGAGCAGGGCGGGCAGGCAGGCGGGCAGGCAGCAGGCAGGACCAGAAAAGACACAACTGCACGGACTGCGCGCTCCCCTCTGACCCGACGCCAGACGGGTTGGGATCCGCACCGCAAGCGGGGAGCAGGAGGGCCCGCGCTCCCCTCACCATCGCCGCCCTCCACTCAGGCCAGCAGGTCCCCCGGGTCGGGGCCTTGGCCAGCCCGCCGCTGGGGAAGCGAGGGACGCGGCTGCCCGCAGGCAGGCAGGCAGGCAGGCAGCGGCGCGGACCCCGGCGGAAGAGGGTGCGCAGTAATGGCCGCTGCTCCGCCGCTCGCACCCCGGCCCGGCCCGGCCCGGCTCCGGCCGTCGCCCAGCGCCGGGGCGGCCGCGCTCGGGGGCTACGCGGAGGCCGTCACAGTCTCTTCCCGGCCTGCGACAGCAAGCCCGGGCGAGGGCGGCGGCGCGGCGCGGCCGGGGCCCCGCGGCCTCCGCGCGGACGGCCGGGACCGCGCCAGCCCAAGGGCGTCCATCTACGTACCGGCCCCTGACCCCGCCGCCGCCCCTCTCGGGCCCCGAGCCCCCCGCCGCCCCGCGGCGCCTTGAGGTTGGAAGTGTCACCGCGGACGGAGCCGCCTCTCCCCGAACGAGGACCCAACACGGGCTGGCATTCGCCTCGCCCTCCGGGCGAAAGCTTCGCCCCGACTCCCACCTCTCTAAGCCACAGCCATGGGCAGCTCGCAGTCTTTTCTCTTCGGCCTTGGAGCCCCGCAGCGGACGGGGACGCGCGCGGCGGTCACGTGACCCCCGGCGCTGTCGAGGGCGGGGCCGCGCACGGCGGAAGCCACGCCTCTGCCAGCGGGCGCGCGCCGCCGAGCCCGCGGGTCGGCTCTCCTGGCCGGGAGCGTGCCCGCGCGCGCCCGCGCGCCCCGTTCCTCTCCCGGTGAGGTAGGGTGACTTTACGGGCTGAACCCTTCCTTCTCTCATTCTTTGCACTTTTTAATTTTGTAATTCCCTCTGGCTGCATTTGTCTTGATTACCTTTAAATGGGTGAGAGGGCTCGGTTGTGGACCCTTGTAAATGCTTTCTGTTTTGCATTCTCTGTTCGCGTTACGCCTCTTGGGTAAGTCCCGCAGAGATGGGAAGTGGGCCCCGGGAGCTAATAAAACGACCCGTCCGCTTCCAGGCCTGCGACCTCGGGAAATCGCTCGGGTCCCTAGCCGAGCTGCAGTGTGAACACTCCGAGCAAAACCACTGTGTGCTCTGAAAGCGAAAAGAGCAAAGGAAAAGAAGGGAGAAAAGAAAGACCGGAGAGGGGAAGCCATCCGGGACTAATGTATTCACCTCCGTCTCGGAATGGTCCAGCAGTCAAGGTAGAAACGCGGCTCACTGCGTGTAGTTTTTCCTAACAGAACACAAAGGGCATGGGAAGTTGACAGAACAAACAACTCCAGAAGCATCGAAAAGTCCTGCTTTTCCTTCCGCGGCCGGAGTTCTGTAGAGGTTCTTCATTTCACTGTAGTATGCACCCCGGCCTTTCCCTGAATAGAGTATATTCCCCCCCTCCCCCCAGGTTAAATGAAGAGGATAAAAGTAGGCATCTTTAATTCTGTAACAGTATCTTCCTACTTGCCATAGTGTTGCACTATGAGAAGTCATTAAGTCATTCAGGATTGAGAATTTAGTGTTTGTACATACACTGAAATGTGTGTGTTTCCTTTTATTTCTATGAAATCAATTTATTCCAGCGTCTTTATTCATGCATGTCAATATGTAAAATTGTCCTAAGGAAACCGTCTACCTCAATGATGTGCTCTCTCCTAAGTCATCCTTTTTTTTTTTTTTGCAACTTCTATAAACATGGAAAAAATATTGGAGCATAGGTCTTCCAACTTGAAGCTTAGCTCCCTATTGAACTCTCTGCTTAGCCATCTAATTTTACCCTTTATCGACACAACTCCTGAATTAGCAAATAGTTGATATCTAGTTGATTCCAGAGATAATGCCAACATTACCTGCCACTGCACCAGGTATTATTCTAAGTGCTTTACACACATGAACTTATTTAATTCTCACAAAACCTATGAAGTGGCTCCTATTGCTGTGACCATTTTATAGAAACAGGCAGAGTGCTGAGATTTGGGATCCAGACAGACTATAGAAGTTTATCTAATTCACCCTACCATTTTATCAATTCATTATGAAATATACCTCACCATTTTATCAATGAGGAAATACATACAATGAGAATAAATAACTTAAAGGTTTTGTTTCAGATAGAGCTGTGATCAAAACAGAGCTATGTTTTCTGGTGCATAATTTAAACAGTTAAGTTTTCTTTAGTTACTTGTTTTATTTTATTGTGGAGGTATTCTGTTGCTCTGAGTGTGTATTTATCCCAAGTTTTTGAAATTAATATGGTGAGTTATATTCTATAATTATGCACTGAAAGCCATTAGACAAGAATGAATTAACAGAGAGCCCACTAAAATACCCTTCCAGGCTTTAAACTCTTAATTATTGTTAGTTTCATAAGTGGTCCTATCATTCCCTGTCTAAGCCTACCTTTCTTGGCTGTTTCTGTTTGGGCTTGTATTCATTTTGCAAATATAATCTCTTGCCTCATTTTTTCCCCAAACATATCCAAGAACCAACTACTTACTGCAATCATCTCTCATTGGGATTATTATTAGAGCAGCCAAGAACTGGTCTATTCTTAAGAAGCAAAAGTCTACTAAAGCGGAAATGAGATCATACCATTCTTTTGTTCAGGGTTTCTCATGGTTTCCCAACACAGAGTAAAAAACAATAATTCTTACAATAGCATTTACATCCTTTCCTTATTACCTCTCTGCCCTCACGTACTGCTCACTCAGCTTTGTTCTTGCAAGACTATACAAGTCCCAGCCTCATTTTTGATGGATGCTTTCTCTACTCTTCACATTCCTCTAGAGAGGGACTTAGTCCCATCTGTGCTCCTGTCATCTTTTCCGTCAGTACTTCACCTGCTACCCTATTCTAAACCAGTAAGTTGCCCTTTCCTAAAACTTCTTACTCCCTTTCCCATTAGCTAATTGAATATTTTAAATTGCACATCTTCCTTGTGCTTCTCTCTTTGCTAGAAGTAAGATTTAGAATTGTCTTCAATTTTATATTTTAGACTTGTCTTCTATTCATGTTCTAATTGCCAGGAAGAGTACCTACCATATATACATAATTCTCAGTAAAATTGTTGAGTTAATGGATGTAGATACTCACACACACACAAGAATGCATGCATGTATGCATACTTACATCTCTTTATACTGAATACAATGAAATATAGTATACATTTATATACCAAATAAGATAAAAATGAATAAAAATGGATTTCTTATTTGTTAGCAATAGAATATAGAGAATAATTAAATGTAAGGCATACTATTCATAGTATTCATTTATATATTCCACTTATATATTTCTTTCTGTGTATACCATATATATATATATATATATACATACATACATACATTCCAGTATATATATTTTACTGACCGTACACCCTTAAAAAAGATAATGCTAAGTTTTTATCGTTGGATGATTAATAGAAGACAACATTTGTTGTCATTGTCAGAACTATTTTTTTTATTGTGAAAATACAGTACAGAGGGGTTACTATTACATGGGCAAGATAATGAGTACATTTCTTATCAAGCATTGTTGCCTCCTTTGTTTCCCCTTCCCATCCCTTCCCATCTCCCCCCCCACACACACTATTTTAAAAGTAATTATTCTCCAGTGTACATGAGGCTCTGAGTTAAAACCCTTGTACTGCAAAGGAAATAAAGCAATTATTTTTCCAGTAATTGTTAAATGTCTACTCATTCAAATTAGTTAAAGAAATAAACCAGAGCCTAACAGATTCAAGGTATGTCTCTTATGTCATTAGTATTCTACTGTGCTTTACCAAATTAATGACAAAGGAGTTGAAGCAAACTGCTGAGAATCACCCATTATTTATAATTTATTATTTCCCACTAACTCATGAAATACATTTGTGATTATCACTTATTTCCTTCAGGCACACACTCTTTCACATTCTCTCCTCTCCAAAAAAAACCCCAGAATTGTCTAATCTTATTTGTTTTACTTAAGGATCAAAGCATTCATTTTTGTTGCTGGAAGAGATCCAAGAAAATGTACATGCAAAAATCATGTATGTTGCAGTAGGATATATTTTGGAAGGCATGTATTCAACTAGCCAAAGTGCATCATCTTTTGAATCATTGCCTAAAGAATCCTGAGGAGTCACATCTGAAGTTTCAAGAGGGTTTGCAAAGGGAAAATTAATTTCACAATAATATTAAGGCCCTGTTGGCTGTGCAAAATTGTACTCTTTCAAATATATAGTGGCATTTTCCAGATGCTACATGCTGTGCCTTATAGCAAAAGATTGAAAATAGTAGATCTGAGAATTTGACTATTTATTAAACCAGGTATTAAAGAGATTTGCAAAATGTAAAATAGTACCATTTTTTCAATTGTCTTTATTTTAGAAAAGATAGTTAAGTGTTATATATAATAATGTTATATATTATGTTAGAAATTAGTCTATTTTAAAATTAATTAATGAATGTGTTATACAATTCTCATTTTAAGATTGAGTTTGGTATATACTGATTGATACATAAATCAAAGATCCTTGGGATGTATAAATTTTTAGGTATTTAAAGGGTTCTTCAGACCAAAAAGACTGAGAACATTGGTCTGTGCTTTTTCCAGTGCCAACTTACTCTAAGCTGGTATCTGTGGACATATTTTCTTATGTCTGGAAACGGAACAAACTAGATTTAAGAATGAACTAGTCAGTATAGCTAGCAGATGAATGGAAATAAGACCAAGAAGCAATTTTGGAAACCAAAACTTTTCCACTTTAATTGAAAATTTTGTTCCCACAATCTTGAGCAGTGACCTAGCATTGGGTGTTATTTGTCTCACAGTAACCAAATAATATATGCTTCATGAAGTAGAAGTCTTCAATAAGCAATAGTATATTATCCAATGGGTTTGTGTTTTTCTTTTACAAAATGTGATTATCCCTGACTTCTCTGACTAGTTCTTTATTTCTCACTCCAGTCCCAGAAGTTACAGCTGACCTGTGGGAATAACTTTTCTACAAAGCAACTGAAACTCATAATGATTGTCACTGTTTGCAGATATCTCAATATAGAACTGAACAGAGAGTCTGGCTGAGGGGCAGTATGGACATGAGTTAGTAAAAAGACAATAATGATGAGTTCTCCAATCAGTGAAGCCACACAGCAATGCTCTATAATGACCTCCAAACTAGTGTTCTAACATGTAGCCATGAAACCGAGGTAAGCTGTGGTCCCTATACATACTTGAGATGATGTTCCAGATAAAGTACTGATCCAGGGTTGAAAATTTTTATCTGTGATAAAAATTTTTATATTATTTGGCCCACCAGAAATTCCATATGTTTTACTAGAGACTCTCATTTAGTTTGCTAGAAAGGTATATGAATAAGTACCGGTAATTTGTAATGTTTTTGATTCTGCTGCCTTCAGAAAAAAGTCAGTGCATTACCTTCTTAACTGAAATAATTTCCCAAAGAATGCAAATACAAAATCCAAATATGATTTTGACATTAATATTTATTACTAATTGTAGGTGTACAGCATTTGTTCATAAGAATTGATTAATATGTAACATTAATTAATATGTAACTTTGCTTATGATTGAGTTAATATGAAACTTGCTTTTTTGTTAATTCTACTTTAGAAAATATTTTAAAAG